CACTACTTTCACTTCAATGAGCAAATACACTTTCTTCTCAGCAGCACATGGATCCTTCTCTAAACTAGACCGTATATTATGCCACAAAGCAACTCTTAGCAAATACAAAAAAATAGAGATACTACCCTCAGATAATAATGGAATGAAATTAGAAATCAATGAGAAAATAAATAATAGAAGCTACTCCAACACCTGGAGACTAAATAATATGCTATTGAATGAACAAAGGGTTGCAAAAGATATCAAAGAGGAGATTAGAGGGAAATGAGAACATTGATACAATATATCGAAATCTCTGAGACACTATGAAAGCAGTACTAAGAGGAAAGTTCATTGCATGGTATTCATTCCTTAAAAGAAGAAAAAGTCAACAAATAAATGACCTAACATTACTTCCCAGAGCCCTAGAAAAAGAAGAACAAATCAATACCAAAAGCAGCAGAAGACAAGAAATAATTAAAATCAGAGCTGAAATCAATAAAATTGAAACAAAAGAAATAATTCCTAATCCATTTCTTTAAAAAATAATTTACTTCAAATCAAAACTATATTTCTGCACCCATCAAAAAATATTATTCTATATGTATTTTAATTATAAAAATATTTTACTGTGGGCATTATTCTACAATTTAGTCYTCAACAATTGTTTTTAATAGTTACTTAAGTTTAAATATTTAATATCACTTTATTATTTTGATAGATGAGTTCCATTGGAAGAAGAAATCAGTTTGTCTGTTCTCTTACTATGGAAAATAGTTTTAATAATTTTTTTCTGATTGAAAAACTTTCTATTGAAGCATTTTTGAAATGATAAAAGAAGGAACCTCTGAAAATCTGATTGTTTATAAAAACAATGGGAACAAAAGTCAAATTGTCAAAAAATCAACCTTTTCAAAACTCAGGATGTTAAGCTATAAGGAATAACACGAGGTATGTTTACTCAAGAAAGATGACTGAATCTCAGTAAAAATATTGGGTTTACAGTGTCTCAGTTGACCCCATTCCCATCCTCTTCCTCCACAGTAGACTTACCAACCTCACAACCATACAGCTAGGAAAATCAGCACCCTCACCACCTCCACAGAGGGTGGGAAAGGCGTGGCCTCCCCCACAWTCAGGAAGCTATCACAGTCTGACCTGTCTGGCATCTCCCCAGGAAAAGGTCAGTCACAGAATCCGTCTATACCTGATCTGACTGAGCTCATTCGGTACCACAGCTCTGCTCCCGGAGCACTTGTTAAAAACAGTCAGTGGCAATTGTTTAGCTGTGCTGTTGTCTTCCATGACAATTCCAACGGTGGCAAACAGGCATCTGACCAAAAAGGTTAAAAGGAGATTTTGAGGAATAAAATGTCCACAGGGGCTTTGAGACCTCTGACCTAGGCCTGGGAATCTGGAAGTGGGAAGGAAGCACCCGAGGAAGACCTGAGGAGCTCCGCTCACTCACAGCCSACCTGGGGCTCTTTGCATTCAGTAAGGAAGAGTCAAGGCAGACCTGTGAGCTCCTGGAAGTCTGAAGGTGAAGCCAGGATTAGACAGGCCGTCAGTGCAGAGGTACATGGAGTCAGGTCAGATCAAAGAGGCCAATTGGACTGCCCCTGAGCGACTGAATGTGAATTCCTTCAGAGCCCTTCCTCCCCCCTTACCAATCCAGAACCACCCCCTGCTCCAACCTGCTGCTGAGGCAACCTGTCCAGGAATGGCCCTCCCTACAGGGAGTCTGAGGTTGTTCCTGTGTCCCCGGCTGCTCCATCCTGCCCTTCCCCCTCAGCCCACCTGGTTCCCACCTCTGGCCATCCCACCAGCACCCCTGGGTCTAGTCACGGAAACCTGAGGGAGAGAGACAAGGGGAGAGGACAGGAGGACAAAGGCAGCCTAGGAGATATAAAAGGGCAGAACCCCTCGCTTCTGGGGACACCAGGACACCAGCTATGGCCCCCTTCTCCCTCCCGGGAGAAGTCTATGTTGCCCCTTTTTGAATGAACCCTGCCTTATATGCTTGCCTCAGCGAGCTTCTCTAGTGTTCAAACTTCAGCATGTGGGGAAGCAGAACTCGTCACCTGTAACCAGCAGTATCAAAGACATCAACACACACACACACACACACACACACACACACACACAATCAGCCCCTGGCAAAGGCCACAAAACCCTTAAGGAATCCTCTGTCCAGTCCTTATGACCACTAAGCTAACTGAACAGAGACTTCAGCAGCCCTCTATGACAATGATACAGACTTTATAAAATTAGTCCAGGAAAGGTGATACTTAACAAAATAAAACCAGTATCTATAACAATAAAAGTATAAAAACAAACCCTAGGGGGGGTGGATCTTATTTCCAGAGCTACCACATTATGCTTTTTTACAGGTTCAGGTTTCAGAGAGCAGCAGCAGCCACTTGGACCCCGGTACATCCCAGCCGGGTGCCACATCCATTCCAGAATGGAATATCTGGAGCTCTTGGTTGCTATGACAAGTAACAACACTTGAAAGGATTCTCGTGGTTGATAACTATCCAAAGTGCTTCATCTTTGGTTAAGAAGTCACATACGAGATTTTCTAGTCAATACTTTGTATTGGCAGCAATTATGCGGAGATCACAGACAAGTAAGTGACTGGTTTGTGTTRTTGCTGCTGCTGTTGTTTTGTTAAGAGACAAAACTGTAGATATATTTGAAAATCTCTTCTCCACAGGCCCTCATCTAGAATTCTTATCCAATTTACCAATCAGAAAAATTCATTTTCATTAATTAATTTCCTAACTTCATGTCGTCTTAGGTTTCCCTCAGAGCAACAGAATCTATATGTAGAAATTGATTTATCATCAGATATTGGCTCACATTATTACAGAGGCTGAGAACCCCACAGTGCTGTCTGTAAGCGGGTCCCAGGAGAGCAGTGGCATAGTGTGGAAGCCCATGAGCCAGCAGGTGACACCGCAGTTCTAATGGCTTGAGATACAAGAGTCTGTAGGCCAGAGAGAGCCAATGACAAGCTGAACTGCATTCCGCCCAGTGGTTCCACTCAAGCCCTCAGCAAAGCACACAGGCCCAAGCACACTGGAGAGGGCCACATTACTCAGTCCACCAGTCCAGTTACCACTCTTGCCCTGACCAGTCCTCCCAGGCACAGCCAGAAATATGTCTAATCCAATATAGAGAATCTGGGATCAAGACAACACAGCGTCAACCTTGGCGAGGTCTATGTTCTCTCCCACCTGCTGACCACGTCTCCCCTACCCAGCAGGCATTCGGGGCACTAAGGTCACCTATCAGTTGGTACCCATCAAAGTGCTGTTTCACTCCAACCCACTCAGATCTGAAATTGCATTTCCCTCCAGAGAACATGTCATCCTCCTCACCGAGGCTAGATCTCAATGAATGGAGACACAGAGGAGATAATCAGCTCCCRGAAAACTCCCGGGATTAAACAATTTAAATACCAATTTAAAAAAAGACCATACCTTATTAAATAAATCACATATATAAAAAGGATAGCTAAGATGGTAATATGGGAAAGACCCTACACCTGTCCTAAAATCCCTTGGCTTTCAGTCCTGTGAGAATTTTAAAGAACAAACTGAGACTAAGGTCATTGACATACATTTAATAGAATATGGAAAGTTTGGAAATAGCAATAAAAGTGCTCCAGCTAAGAACTGGGGCTGAATCCTGGGGAAACACCACCTGCCTCAATCAAGGCTTTTGTTCACATTTGGGTCCAGAGTATTTTCTTTCCTGGAGACACAGCTGATTGCTTCTTGGGAGATGAGAACGTGAAGAAGGCAGGACGAGGTGCTCAGGCAGAGGAATGGGAATGGGACCTGCACCCTGAAGGACCCCCTTGGGCTCTGACTTTGAACCCAGGAGAAGCCCGAGAAGCTGGAGAGAGGAAACTACACAGACMAGCTGTGGTCGGCGAGTGGCACAGGGTGAAGGGGGCGAGGCCCCAGCTCTGGATCACCAGCAGGATCACCAGAAGCTACGCAGGGCCGACAGAGCAAATGGACATCAAACTCTGACGGAGACCTGCAGGCGTCCGACTAGAAGTAGCCTGTCCAGAAAAAAAGTAACCAGTAAAAAGGATCTAAACTAAGAGTTCACAAGAAAGAAGTGGGAAAGTGGCATAAAAATGAATGACAGTTAAGGAACTCTGGGAAAATACTGTCAAAAAGCAAATAAGTACTTTTTTAAAAAAATTAAATGGACCAATTTTGTTTATAAAGTGAGCTCAAAGTAGAGCTGCAAAAAATTAGTGCAACTCAGAAGAGAATTGGAAAATACTCTCAGAAAAACAAGGGCTCTGCTGAAAACCGCCCCCGCCCCCCGATATAAGCAGTGCTCAAAACCTGGCAAGGAGCACAAAGGTAAGACCTAGAGCAGAGATCACCCAAGAGGCCAAAGTGACAGACACAAATTTAAGTGAAATTCTAGCGAAACTTTCCATGAAAATATAGATTGCATAATGGACTATGTCCCTAAATTAACTCAAAACCATCAAAGGAGAGTTAYACCCTTATAAGGTCAATCATCTCAGAGATAATCAAAGAATCCTTGGGAAATCCAGGAAAAAGAAAAGCTTCAGTGAATCTTCATGGAAGAAAACAGCGACAACAAGAAACCCACCTAACCTTGGGCTTTCCCAGGGCCAGGCTAGATGGCAATGCAGCAGCCTCTACAACCCCAGAGGGGAACAAGGTGGCTTGAGGATGTCACACCTGGCCAAACTTTCACTCAGAAAAGCGTAGTCAGCTATCTAGCACATGACAAGGAGTCAAGAGACRTAATTCCCTCCAGCCCCTCTAAATAAAATACAAGATGCATTTCAACCCAATGAGGATGAAGAGAGAAAGCCTGGTTGTGTGTCCTGGATCTATTTAAACATAGCACTAAGGCATAGAGGATGGGGAGGTTATTGTCACCAAGCTGAATGCAAATGTTGACAACGTTGAAAGTACATGCATGACTTAACTAACAAAATTATACAGGAAATAGAAGCTATGAGGGAAGGTAACGTAAGCACACAGATTTCTTCTTCACTGAAACTTGGAAGTGATTAAGTAACCATGAAAATGAGAACAAAGACATAAAAGTGCCACTTAGCAATTTAATCAACTAAAATCGCTCAAAGAAGAGGCAGGTGGAAATGAACCAATCCCATCTTTGCTCACAGTTGATAATCAGCAGATTCTGAAGATTTTGAGAAACATTCTGAAAAGTTATAGTCAACCTGATCACTGTCGAAAGAGGACAAACCTTTCATATTAAAGGAAAACATGAACACACCACACACAGACACACATACCAGAGGGTGAAATTGGATTGAACTCACCTATTAAGAGAAAGGAATTGGTTACATTTTAATAAAACCCAGCAACATGCTACATACTGGCAACACTTACAAATCTCTCAAAAGGCTATAAATAAGTCGATGCGGAGAAGTCTATAAGAAGTGGAAGAACAGGAGCTCAGCAGAACTGGGGAAACTTAATTCAGACTGACTCAAATTCCGGGCTATGAATTAAGCTTTAAAGCATCAAATGTGATTCCTACAAAAGCATCACATAATAAGAAAGTTCATGATCCATAATGAAGATAATTATGAAAAATCTACCTGGTAAAAAGAATTCCAAGGTGGCCCGAATGCCCCTCCCCTGAGACTCATGCCTCATACAAATCCCTCTTCCTTGAAGATGAAAAGCTGAGGAAAGATGTGGTCTGAGGCTCTGAAGATGATGGCAGACAATGGCAAAGGGGCGCTACTAACCAGTTAAGTAAGGCTGCTAGCCAGTTGTCTTAGAGATCATCTGCAGGGGGCCTGAGCTCATCATATGAGCCTCTTAATTCTGGGTATAGACTGTTGGGGAAAAAAAAAACAGTGGTAGCAGGAGAAGGCAGGGAACAGTAGACAGCTTTCAGGAGCTGACCAGTGCCCTCAGCCACAGCCACCAAGAGAACAGGGCCCTCTGTCTGACAGGCTCAGAGCAGCGAGTTCTGCCAACAACCTAATGGTCTTGGAGGAGGACCCTGAGCCCCCGAGGAGAGAGCCGTCCCAGCTAATACCTTGTGTTGCTGGGTGAGGCCCTGAGCACGGAGGCTAAGCTGAGAGGGAACGTTCTGACCTACAGAAGCTGTGCAATAATAAATGGGTATTTTATAAGCCATGAAATTTGTGGCAACTTGATACACAGCAGTAGAAAAATAATACCATTGTCACAGCATAAAAAAACAATAGCATCAAAATTGATAGGACAAAATAAAATCATAGGAAACTTCCATGTTTTTATAAAAATATCTAATATTGTTTTGCAGTTTTTAGTAGAAGAATTTGATTCTCCTCTGTCAGCATGGCATTGATGGGTTGAAAATCAAGTAAGGCTGTAGGAAGAACAGGGAAACACAGAGATGCATGTGGGAGAAAGAGAGAGAGAGGGACCCACCTGTCAATCTTTATCCATGAAAACATGGAATAGACCTTTGTCCCCAATACCTATAGGATATTCACAAGAGTGAACATGTATTAGACTAGACATTTCTATTTAAATTCCAAACAGTAGACTAGCAGACATATTCTCTGATCACAAAGCAAAGAAATTTAGAAACTAACAAGTTTAATGTACTTCTATTTTCTACTAATACTGTATGGTACTTCCATAAAGGCGTGGAGAGTGGGGCTGGCTTTCTGTTTCTCACATCAAGAAATTAGCTACATATCTATTTGATTAAGAATTGTTATCAATTATAGATTTAAAATCTTTGAAATATTTTCTATTTAGTGTTGTTCAGTAACAGCCACAGTGAGCCCATCTGCAAAGTGAGTGTGAGTGTGTGTGTGTTTGTGTGTGTGTGTGTGTGTGTGAGAGAGAGAGAGAGAGAGAGAGAGACTCTAGCTTCCAGGTGGGGGTTAGTCCCATTGAGGTGAGCTCGCTGCTGTTAACCAGTCCCCTCCTCTCCGGCAGTGAGTGGCCTCCAGATTCTGCAGTCCAAAATGAAGTGGCACCACCTGGTACGTGACGTTCTGTAGGACATCGTGGTAACTGGGATCTCCCGAGGGAGAAACTCGTTCGCTGACTCTTACACGGATGTTACAAGTAACATTTTCGGGTGCATGAGTGGGGGGAAGGACACAGGCAAGCTGGCTGGACCCGGCTTTGCCCCCGGTCCCCCTGCAGAGCTCTGCTCTCGCCAGCCCACTGTGCCTGGAAGTGGCTTCGCACTGATGCAGAGTGTTGAGGTGTTGACCCCTCCTGCGGATCCCCCACCCTCCATCTCCCAGGGCCCGCCCAGTCTCACATCCTTTGCTCCCATCCTGGGGACCCCTCTCAGCCAGCTCGGCCCCCGCTCAGTGTCAATGATGGTCTCACTCCCCAGTTTGACAGCCTCACGACTTGCTTTATTCCTTTTTTGTTTATCTTATTCTGTATTTTTTTTTCCTTAGACTTTTGGACAGTTTGCTTGTCTGTCATCCCTGGAGGACAGAGATTGTGATTACCTCTCTCTGTGTTCCCTACAATGTGACACAGTACTGTCATTGTCATTGTAGGTATTCATCTAGCTTTGTAAAAACTGGATTGAAATCTGGAGCCTTTGATAAAACCTACCACCATTTTTATATCTAAGTTTAAATTGACACAGAAGGCACAGGGAAAAGCTGCCATAAGATATGCAATTTTTCTCCCTTAGAAAGAAGAATGGGCCCATGTGGCGGTTAAACCATGTATAGACCATTTCTTTAGGAGTCTGTGGTCAAAGTCAGTGATAATTACAAAACATTGATAACTTTTTTGATGGACAGGTTCACTTTGCCTGCCAGGATAGGAAGACACTTGACAATAAAACCTGCTGTTCAGTGCTGTTTCATCACTTTCAAMTTGTTAACACCATTAGAGACCAAATGTACAGTTTAGCATTTCATTCACTCAGTCATTCATATATTTTAAAAAATATTTATTGAGTATCTACTATATGCCAAATATTATGCTATCGTTTTGAGACACAAAGTAGAACTCAAACATTAGCCTCAAATTGCTTAGAGTCCAATGGAAGAAAAATAAAATAAATCARTATTAAAAATTGCTGTGAGCTGCAGGGATGTTACAGGAGGCAGGGTGAGAGAGGTACACTTAGAGGGAGCTTCTACTTAGCTTCAGGTTAGGGAAGACCTGGCTGGACTTTGAGGATAAGGGTCAAGTACATTCCAGGGAAGGAACCTGGGAAGGCCCAGGGAAAGAAACCAGCAACATACATTGTAGATTTTAGGTATGATTCTCCAGAAGTAGATGCTAAGATAGAGACTTGCATCCAGGAGATTTGCTGGATTTGCTCCTGGGATCAGTTCCTGAGGCCTGGGGAGGAGGGGTGGAGAAGGCAGGCTTGCAGGGAAGTGCAAAGCAGGCTTCAGCTACCCCCACAGGAGCTTTGGAGCTGAGGTGACCTTCGCTTTGACCTTGGAGGCAAAGGGGCTGAGCCTTTGTGTCACCCAGGCATCAGAGTCAGGTTGCCAGAGGGGACAATTGACTGGGGGAAGTTTCAGACCAGAGAGAGCTCTCAGCTCCCAACACTCCCAGCCGCTGGGAAAACAGCRTTTCAGTCCTGAGGTAGAGAGGGCTGGTGCAGACAGAGGGTACATAGCGTCCATCCCAAAGACAGATGGACCAGAACGGACCTCTGTGGGGGTGCTAGGCGCTGTGGATGGGTCGTGGGCACAGACCCGGTTGTGAAGGTTCCTTTGGGTTTGCTGAGAGGGCCGAGCTGTGGGACCAGCTGCACCAAGGGAGTTGAATTGCTCCAACAGCAGGGGAGGTGCAGAGTGCCAGACCCTTCACAGGCGAGCAGGCACAGGGCTGATGGACCTGGGCAGCGGGCTGCTGGGGAGCCCTGCGCATCAAGTGGGCTTGTGCTTCCAAAGCTTAAAAACCAGGAACAGCGGGAACTGCCCCAAACACATAGCTGGGTCTTGAAAGGGACGCTTTCCTGAGGGAGCACATCCCTGGTCAACCAGAATGTGGTGGCCACCACCTGCAGGGTTGAAAGTCACAACCCACAGGAAGGAAGCAAGAAATTGCGCGCGCGCGCGCGCACACACACACACACACACACACACACACATTTTTTTTCTAGTTCTAGAGCTGCAACCCTGGAAAAAAGGTAGGGAAGATGAGGGAAGGAATAACCTTCCTTGTTCCAAAAAATATCTGAGCACCTTTGACCCTCACAAGATCCCTTTGGGGTAAGTTCTGCTGTATCCCCATTTTTAAATGAGGAAACTCAGGCCGTAGGTGACCTGCCTGTGGTCACGTAACAGTGGCAGCCCCAGGACTGGCAGCCTGACCACCATGCTGTGTTGACCCTGAAACCCAAACTCTTGCCTGCCCCGGAGATCAATGAAGACCTTTGAATAGCAAGTTACCAGCTGAGGTTGTGGCTCAGTGGTAGAGCATTGCCTAGCCTGGGAGGCGTTYGATTCTCGGCACCACATATAAACAAATGAATAAGGAAGGTCCATGAATAACTAATAAAAATTAGAAATAATAATAAGTTATGAAGGTTAAGATTTTAAATAAACAGGATTATAATCAACAATAACCCTGGGGTTGTTTTAATTGCCCAAAGACATGGGAAATCCTTGAAATCAGAATAATCTGTAAGGGAGACAGCCGTCTATCAGGGAAAGGTGGGTGAGGGGGTTGTCAAAGAAGAGGGACAGGGCACTGTGGAGCCAATCCAAGAGGAAGTAGGAGACCTTCCTCCGTGTACCTGGAGGTGGAGGTATATATTGGGGAGAATAACCCTTTATCAGATATATGGCCTGCAAATATCTTATCCCATTCCACAGATTACCTTTTTATCTTTTGACCCAGTTTCTTTTTCTTTCTTTCTTTCTTTCTTTTTTTTTTTTTTTTTGCAGAAACTTTACTTTGATAAAAAAAATCTTTGTTTATTTTCGTTTTTGTTGCTTATACTTTTGGTGTCACTTCCCCTCCAAAAAATATCAATGTCAAAACCAACAATAAGAAGCTTTTTCCAGTCATCTATTAGGAGTTTTATAGTCTTCATCATACACATCAGCCTTTAATCCACCCATTTAACTTTTGCAGGTGGCATAAGGTAAGTGTCCAAGCTCACTCCTCTGCGTGTGGACAATGCGACCCCCAGACACCGTTTCCTGGGAGCACATCCTTTCCCCACCATCTATGGGTGGGTTTATCTCTGGACCCTCGATGCTGTGTTGCCTATGAGTCTGTTTTTATGCCCAGCTACACCATTCTAATTACTGCAGCTTGAGAGTAGAGTTTGAAAATAGAAAGTGTGACATCTCCAGCTTTTATTCTTCCTTCTCTAAATGGTTTTAGATAATTGAGGATTCCTCAAACTTCATATAAAAAATATAAATTCCTAATTGGGTATCTTTAATTACAACTTTTAATGGTTCCAAAATTAAGTTATACAGCCGCCCATTGACCTGGATATGATTCTTACTCTATGGCATGAATGTGGTCTTCCTTCAGGAAGGCCTGTCTTAAATTGCCGTGCTGGCATTTTTATAGGTAGACACTACACCTGTAGATTGCACTTGACAGTTACAGAAGTGTATGGGAGCACACCTGGTAAAGATCACCCCCAACAAAATACTACTATCTGCAAATGCTCGCTATAAAAGCACAGTGGTTGGCTGTACAGACCACCATCTAGGCCAAAACACTAGTGGGGGATGAAATTATAGTTTTCCTAGTCTCGATACTTCTACAAACTGTTGGGATGACTTTTTAGTCTGTTTTGGTGCCTTGGCTTGGTGCAGCAGGGACCACACAGGATCTTGTCTGGTTTGTAATTGCTGGTGTTTTTCATGGTACTTAGGAGAATGCAATTAATGAACTATGGAATGCCTTTGCGGGCCTGCTGTGTCATCAGTCCATGGTCCTGGCCATCAACTCCAGGTAACGTGACACTCTCTGATTTCACTAACTGAATATCTTTGAAATGAAATATTTTTTAAAAAATAATAATTGTGAGAAATAAAAATTGACTCAAAATTCCATCATCCTGATTTAGCAACTCTTCTTTCTTACGCTCTCCCCAATCTTTCTATATCACATGGATAAGCAGATGGTCTTTCTAGTTGAGACGGGCAGTTTTCCTTTGTTGTTACCTTGAAAGATGCATGCCCGTATCAAAAATATTAAAATATAAAAAAAACATGGTATCATTGACTAGGAAATAGTGGCACCATACAGTTAAATGATCTCAAACCTTAGTGTGGGTTTATGGGCTCGGTCTTTACATTATTGAGTTCATGGAGAAAGATGTTCCAATTTCTAAATAACTTAATGTAGTTATATTTATGAATAAATCGATTCCTTAATGTTTAAGGCATCATTGCTAAGAGAATATTTAAGATCCATTGATCATCTGGGTTTTACTTTCTCGTATACCCTCTCTCATCATTAAGAAAAAAAGTCCATAAATTTAAATTGCATTTGAAATCTCACCCATTTAAGAGTTAGACCTTTTTCTTGTCAGCTTTGTGGATCCCGTGCTGCAGTATGAAAGTCAGCTGAATGTAACTGAAGCATCCTTTAGAATGCTATTAGCCCTACCAAACTTTGGAAAGTTGAGAGCACTGGGGATTGGCAATGAGGACCTCGAGGACCAGGAGGTGAGACCCTTCTTCCTTCACTTGTGTTGAGACTTTGCTCTGCACCACAGTGGAGCTGAGAGTGCATCTTGGAAGGCTTCAGTCTTTGTTTTCTTCTCCCCTACTTACATATAATGGAATTCTTCAGCACTAACCTACACCCCTAAACTCCTGGTGAATTCTGTGACCCATGGGATTTGGTGGATTGTATAGGGGTTATAGAAACAAATCAGTGAAGGTATTTTTGGTTAAAACTGGTTTCACAAGGGCAAGGAGTTTAATGAAAAGTATTGCCCCCCCCCAAAAAAAAACAATAGAAGCAGAGAAAGATGAAAATAAGTAGAGTCCCATCGTGAGGTTAGGAACACCTGAGGTCTCTATTTTCTCAGCATTGCTACCCAATGCAATTTATCTCTAAGCTAAAGAAGGCTTGGTCTTGGGTGAGACTTTATCCACATAGCCACCTCACTCCTTTTTTTACCTTCAGTTTAGGGGGAGAACTCAGGACACCCAGATGCAATACTGTATGTATTGGGTAAATTCTTTTGTAAGACTGCTGGCTGTTTATGTGATTTTTTTTTGTATTTCAGAGTTTATATCAAAATATTTTACACATATTTGAGGACACTCTTCTGATCTTAGTGTCTAAAGACCTCTACAAACTCCAGATCCTAAGGGTAAGAGGAAATAAGCAGTGTTGTTTGTCATAAATAGAAAGAGCTCACTCTAGTCCCCTGACTTCTAATTTATCATATTTATATGTACTTCTAGTATTTGGTGACTGGAATTTGCTTCTTGTGGAGTGAAGCTACTCACAAAACAAAACCATTCCCTTTGTTTGAGTTAGAGAAGGGCAGAAATCAATGTGGGGAGGAGCCATCAATGGCCACCTGAGGAGGCAAGTCTCATGTGGTGACTGTGGGTGAGCACAGGCTGGGGTCACAGAGACCAGCATTGGCCTCAACTGCCTCCAGGTCCACAGGACAGTGGACCACAGCGTGACACCCACTCCCAGTGAAGGACAGTTCTGGGGTGAGGCAACTCAACAGATTCTCTGGCCTTATGCACACCATATTCTGTGGCTTCGATATGTCCTCTGATGTCCCCCACAGTCCATCTGTCAAGATCTTAATCCCAATGCCACAGCATTGCACGGTGAGACCTTGAYGAGTCGACTAGATCGTGAGGACTCTTCCCTCATGATTGGATGAATGTCATGGAAGTGGGTCCTCGATAAATGATGAATTTGCCCCCTCCCCTCCTCTTTCCTGGGGGCTTTCTTCCCCTTCTTCTCTCTGCAATGATGCAGCAAAATGTCCCTCAATTGATGAGGACTCCTTGAAGATACTGGTGGACTTCCAGCCTCCAGTACTGTAAAAACTAAATATCTCTATTATATTTATAAATCACCCAGCCTCAGATATCCTGTTCTAAAAACACACTTGGACTAATAGACAAAATTAATAGCAAGAAGAGAGACTGTCCCTCTAACCAATACCTAAAGACTATTTTCTCAGCATTGCTACCCAATGCAATTTATCTCTAAGCTAAAGAAGCCATTTGTGGCTTGGTCTTGGGTGAGACTTTATCCACATAGCCACCTCACTCCTTTTTTTTAACCTTCAGTTTATGGGGAGAATTCAGGACACCCAGATACAATACTGTATGTATTGGGTAAATTCTTATGTAAGATGTGAAAACTGTTCTGGAACTGGGTAATGAGGCTGGAAGAGCCAGAGGGTGTGAATGGAGCATTAAAGACCATTGTGCTGAGGAGCCAGCAGAAGACAAGAGCCGTAGGGAAAGCCTCAGTCTTCTCAGGGAAAATATACGTGGCTGTGATCAGAATGCAGGCCGTTCTCAGGAGGCCTCAGAGAGAAATGAGGCACAAGACATTGGAAACAGGAGTGAAGGTCACCCTTGCTACACAGTTGCAGAGAACTTGGAGGAACCATGTCTGCATTCTAGGACTTTTTGGAAGGCAGAACTTAATGATGAACGAGGGCACCTGAGAGAAGAAATCTCTACTTAGCATAGAGCTCAAGGTGCCCTGTGGCTTCTTTTGATGGCTTGCAGTAAAATGAGAAAAGAGAAAAGGGACTTAAAGGTGAAAATTAAAATCAAGGAAATGCAGAATGAAAAGATCTGGGGAACTCTTGGCCTGACCATGTAAAGAATTTAAGAAAAAAAAAAAMACAAGTTTGAGAGAGAACATTAAGGGTACGTGTTGCTAAGGGACCATATGCTCAAGAGTTAAACATGCATGAAAACCAGGTCTGGTCATCAATACAATGGGAGAGTGACCTTGAAGGCATTTCAGAGGTAAGCTAGGACCTTAAGAGCAAGGTTTCAAGAGAGGTACCCATAGAACCTCAGTATTTTCTCCTCTGTACCAGCTGGTGACTTGGCCCTGAATGTCCTTCAGCACAGCACCCCTTGCCTGCTTTGGCCATGACTCAGGGAGGCTCAGGTGTGGCTCCACCCACTGCTCTGGGAGTTCCAAACCATGAGCCTTGGCAGCATGCACAGTGCTAACTCTGCAGGTACACAGAATGCATGAGCTGTGTGCCTCATGCCACCAATGCAGAAGCATGGCGGCCTCTACTTAGATTTCAAAAGATGTCACAGCCAGGCAGAGACTTGTCCCAGTAGTAGACCACTGCAAAGAGCTCCTGTGAGGGCAGAGCCTAGTACAGTTGTACAAGTAGAACCTCTATTGTCCACAGACCTCACCGCATGATTCATGTCCCAGCCAGAGAAGACTGCACTGGATGTTTTAGGTTCTTAAATTTTGCATTCCTAATATGGTGGTGTCAGGAGTCAGCTGTCTAAAAATACTGGGAATACATTGACTTACCCTACCAGAAACATCCATGAGTTGTGCAAACCAAAGTAAAGAAGACAGATTGGTATCCTTGAAGACAAGAAAGAATGTGAAGGAAAGTAAAAATGGATTGAGCTAATTTGTGCTGAATTGGAGCCAAATATTTCTGTGCATTTGAAATGTTATTCTCCTAAGTGATTATCATTCCCTTCCCCCTGCATGTCCTGMGAACTGCCCCAGGCTGCTCTCCGCTTCCTCTTATTGAGCATTTCACCATTTCAATATGGATGTGAGTACATATTGTAATCCCTCAAATCATCCCATAAGGAAGCTACTATTATTTCTTCCATTTTGGAGAAAAAGAACAGAAGCAATGCTATTGTGGCAAAGCCACCACAACTTGGGAGGTTCGTTATGTCTGGGAACTCCCTGATCCTCAAAAAGAGCTGAAACCCCACTCCCAGAGAAGGCAGAGTGTGACCCCTCTGAGATTTAGAAACCCTTCTGCCTTAGGAAATGGACTTCAGAACAGTGTGCCGCTTGGCAGAGGTGAAGAGGAACAGATTGGCCAACCATTGGCAGAAGTACAGAGGCCTCCAACAGGTGGCCTAAGAAGTCTGCTAGGGCTCATTAGCATGTGCAGTCTATTCCCTTCCCAGGGGGAAATACATCCATCCCTGCTCTTGGGATTTAGAACCAAGAGAAGGTACTAAAAGACAGATTTGAATAAAAATTAGCAACAATTTTCTAACTAAACTGCCTCCACTGATGTATTCTCTATCCAAGGATCAGAACATTTCTGGATGGTGAATTTGCAGAGAAATGGTATCCATGAAGACAAGAAAAGAAAACATTTCTGATCAGATAACATTTCAGTTCTCTTTTAAAGCTAAAGATCAGAGTCCATATTCTTTCCTTAGAATATTTGTACTCTAAAAAAAGGAATATTTGTATGTAGAGCAGCTGATGACCACGTACAGACCCATGCCGAACTTTCACGATACCTGACAGAAGGACTGCTACAGTGTTTATTAGTCACTTGTTGAATAGAATTAAGTAAAATAAAAACCACATGTAGTCACCATAGTAGATGAAGTAGTACACTGGCTGTTTGTTGTCCATTTTTTTTAAGATAACATAGGTCAAGCGTGGATTAATCAAAAGACCATGGGACCCCCAAACTGGTGACTAGAGGGAGGGCTCYTTAGGAAATGGAAATTCCATGGATCTAAGATGGCTCTTGTTTTTCCAACAGGAAATGGTTTTGTGGGTGAAAGAAGAGCGTTTGTACCTGCAAGAGGAAACACTGACGATCATCAGCAGGGTGTTATGCTTTGCATCTAAGAAAGTCCAAGGAGATGTAAGTCACACAATGAACAATGGCCCGGTTCTGAAGACTGCTTTCCAGGGCGCTGCTTGCTATGTCTGAGGTCTTGAGGGTGCTGGGTGTCTGCTTGGTATTACTGGGTTTGCACTCTGCAGTATCTAGAAAGGAGTCAACATTCTGCATGGCTTTAAGGCATGGGAGCAGAATTTCTCAAAAACTGGTAAAGAAGCATTATTAGAGAAACAGCATGAGCATGTTGTACCAGGTTTTGCTGACTCTGGATTCTCCTCTGTGGACCATAATGAATATTATTTTCCACCCTTATCTTCCTCTTTATGTTCTCCTTTTATTTTCCAAAAATATTTGTGAATCATTATCTATTTTAAATTTGTACAAGCAATTCTTGGAGCATAAGTCTTCCTTTCCTTTCCTCTCCACCCACATTCCCAGCCTGTTGGTGTGACATGTGTCCACCCAAACCGCTTTCTTTGTCTACATCCTTGTGTGCACGCATGCACACATGGATGACCTCCTGCTTCTTTAAAGAAGTTACATCAAGTGCTGCAACTTGCTTTCTTCACTGGACAACATGCCCTGCTCATATTTTCATATTAATATATGTAGCGTAATTTCATTCTTTCAAACATAGTCTGTGCATTCTTGAATATTACAATCCACTGAACTACTTTTCCATTGATGAGTCCAATGGTGTTTTTCAATTTCAAACAGTAAAAATTAGTTACRTTCATGCAAATCTGTATGTACTTAGTTCAGCTTAGGGAGGCAATGGCTAGATAGACGTGGGGGAGGTCCAAGTTTAGGAATGCACCACTGTCCTCCAATCTGTGTTCCTGTGACTATAAGAATGCCCATCTCCCACACCTTCCTAAATGCCAGGGTCTTCTAGACTTACATAATCATTTATTCTCAGAAAGGGCCTCATCTGAGCACATTGCTACCACTACTTTCTTTAATCAACAGGATCTATCTATCTATCTATCTATCTATCTATCTTTCTATCTTATATGCCTATATTCAAATGTATAAAGTTATTATTTATTTTTGGAAAGGTCTGGTTTACAAAGCTCTTCTTTTGGTTTTGACATAAGATTTACTTATCCATTATCAACAATAGCCAAGATGTAGAATCGACCTAAAGCCCACTAATGGAAGAATGGATAAAGGCCACAAGGGTTTGGGGCACTACCCACCCAYCCCCCCATCCCCCAAGTATTCTTAGTCATAATAAAGAAGAAAATTCCATCATTGCAAAAAATACAACGGACCCCAGAGGACACTATATGGCATGAACTCRGCTAGGCACAGCATGGACAGACAATCCCTGCCTGCTGGCCTCACACACACACCCTGAGGGAGTCAACTCATCACACAGAGGGGAACAGTGGTCGCCAGGAGCTGGAGGCGGTGGGCSTGGAGGAATGCAAGACGTGTTCATTAGAGGGTCTGAAGCTTCAGTTAGACGGATGAATAACTTTTGGAGCTCTAATAATGTATAGCACTTTGACTATAGTTAATCATAATGCATTTTGTACTTGAAAATTGCAAAAAAAAATCTTAAAATGTTCTCACCATAAAAAATGATATGTGAAAAGATGGATTACATTGGTTAGCTTGATCTAATCGTTTAACAGTGTGTGCATATATCAAAATGTCACATTGGACAAAAATAATAACGTTTCTCTCTTGTGGATACTGTACCTTCAGTCTGTTTCCCAACTCATGCTGCAGGGATTTTAAAATATACTCTACTAAGAGTTTTTCTGATGACTTGAATCATTTTAGGAGTAGTTAMGTGTAAAGGGAGTTGGAAATAAACATTTGGGATGCTCCTCGTGTCCATTTTCTCATACTTGTATAAACCCCAGACATAGCAAAACAAAAATATCTAGACCAGCCTTTAAAATAGCTGAATTGTTACGACTTTGTTTAAAGCCAGCTGGGAGTGTGGTAGRATTTACTTATACAGGGGAGCACCGTCCAGTGTTTTCATTGTATGATCCCCTATTTCAGCACCCAAAGAGAGATTCAGGGGCTTGTCTAATCCTGATTCTCTGATTTGGGAAGGCAGCCCTGCCCCCCAACACCCTCACTTGTAAAATGGCCTGGGGTTCTATACAAATATCTAGAAGGCTCAGCATGGAAAATCTTGCAAGTGAGGCTTGGGATTAAGTACCACTCAAGTCTGTTCTCTGCACAGCTCCTGGGACAATATGCACTTAGCAAGTATTTGATGCCAACTATGTGAAGAGGGCTATTTGCCTGACTGTCTCTGCATTTGGATGCCTGCATCCTAGCATGGGCTTAGGCAGCAGGTGGGGCTTTGTAGCAAGGGCTTAGCACCCCTGGTCTTTCCATTACTAGTTGGGTTGCCCCTGAACCCAGACCTCTCTCCATCCACAAGAAATCAAATGTGTAAATTCAGGTGTGTAGCAGAAGACTCTCATGCATTATTTGAGGAAATCAAATGTGTAAATTCAGGTRTGTAGCAGAAGACTCTCATGCATTATTTGAGGATTTCTTGCTTTAACAGGTTTGTATGAAAGACCAGGTGGGATTATCTGCCACTCTGCCCTGCAGTGTTCACCAAGTGCCACCAGGTGGAAGTACATCAGCATTTTTCAGAACATTGAAACAGCTAGACTCAGCCAGCTCACCACAGTCATGGAAGCATAAACTTCATTAAGGAAGCTTTCTTATTAAAGTAATGTCTTCTGAAAATAATTAATTCTGGGGCTTGGATCGTGGTTCAGAGGTACAGTGCTTGCTTAGCATGGGTGAGGCCCTGGGTTCGATCCTCAGTACCACATAAATATAAAATAAATAACAATAAAGGTATTGTGTCCACCTACAACTAAAAAAAAATTTTTTTAATAAAATAACAAAATAATTAATTCAGTGAGATTATTGGACAAGGGGATTATAGGACAAAACAATCTCAAAAATATTGTAAATGATTTAAAGCTGAGCTTCCACAGGCCTGACCTCTGTATCACTATGTCTGACATAAAACAGGCAATTAATTTTTTTGTTCTGCTCTAATTAAACAGCTACCTATTCTGTCCTCTCGTGCTATTCATACAATGGAAAAAAACATTTTCTTCATAAGTCATCCTGCCTAGGCCCTGCTCAGCCTCAGAGGCTCCTGTCCTAGCAAAGACTTCCGATTATCATTGTATTTTGTCAGAAATATGTTATTAAAGGGATAATTCCCCTCACATAACCCATGTGCCCATCAGGGTAGAGAAACTCCTGCACTCAAAGGTTATTCATCCCTTTAATTGAAGTATCAGCTTTCAACAGGAAGAGAAGTGTGAGCTAAGCACATCGTCTTGTTGCATTCACAGAGAATGCTCCTACCTGTGCTCCTCTGGCACATTAGCGTTTAGAAATGGGTGGAAGAGTCCCAATTAAATAATACACAGGTGGTCCCTGTGTATTATCTCCTCTCCCTCCAGAGTCCTCACGAAGTGATWGTAACAGAAAGTGTTAAAGTCTGAAGTCACATCCACAGAGAGGCTTGGTGAAGGCTTTTCAGTGGGCTAGCAATGCCAGCAAACTTTGGAAGACAGAGGAGAGAAAGATGAGAATAGAAAAGTCTGTCCACGGAACCAAAGCAGGAACCCATGACCACTAGGGTGGGGTCTGGAGCTGCAAAATCCCAAGCAATGAAGAAGGGAGGGCGTGAAGCGAGGGGTCAAGGGAGGGCTGAGTGCAGGCCCATCAGCTGAGAGCCGTGAAAGCTCAATCAGCACAGTCAGAAGGCTCAGAGTCCCCTTCCCCTTGATGCACTAGGAGTCCATCAGCAGACGGAATTTGAGAACTGCCTTCTGCTTTCTTTCTTTCTTTTTTCCCCCAAATCTTCTGTGGTTTGATAGCGTGACCCCAGGGCAGCGAGGTTTGGAGGTGGGTCAAGACTCTCATCAGGGCTCTGACMTCAGCAGTGGGCTAATCCATTTGCTGGATTCGCCTGTGGGTAGCTGAATGCAGTGGTAACTGCAGGCAGGGGAGGACCCTGGGGGCAAGGCCCRGGGACTGTGTCTGTCCCTGCCCCCGTCCCCAACTCCCTTTCCAGCAGAGAAGCTTGCCTCTGCCCCACCATTCCAACATCGCCTCTGGCCCAGAGAAATGGAGTTGACTGACCCTGGATGGAAACCTCTGAAACTGTGAATCCCCAATTTTTTCCTCCTCTAAGTTGTTCTCATCAGTTATCTAGTCACAGTGATGAAGAACTGACTAACACAATAACCATTGTTAAGTTCTCTGATAGAAGAATCATGCGTTTTGTTTAAACGCTGAAGGAGGACCCCAGCCTCCACTCCCAGCCACTGTGAAGCAAGGTACACCACTGGCAAGCCTTTCTACAGACAAAGCCCCACCAAGAGGCACTTAGTCCTCAAATATGAAGAGACATCAAAATTTGCCAGACATTTGAGAAAACCCTTCAATTAAAAGACCTGCAAAGGCAAATAAAGAAGGGGGAAAATGACTATCAAAAGCAGATAATTCAAGACACAGATGAGAATTTATTTTCAAAAAGAGCGGAGAAGGCACATGTATATGCCAAAAGGAAATATAACTAACCCGAGCGTGAACTATGCGTTGAACAACATCACTTAGTCACAAGAGCATATTGTTGATTTTCAATTTTTAAGATCACTCGAAGACCAAGCACTAAAATCCTTAAAGGAATTACTGATCACAATACAAATGAAAGTGCAGAGAACAGGGAAAGGGTTCTTCAACAAGTTCAACACCAAATTACCACGTGGCCAAGCAGTCCTGCTAGGCACAACCCCCACCCCCAAAAAATGTAAGACAGATGTTCAACAAAAACTTGTTCATAAGTGTTTACTGCGGCAAAATTCAAATTGCCAAGACTGGAAACAACCCAAAAGCCCAAATGCCCATCGACAGACAGATGGACCAACAAAACCTGACGTCCTCATTCAAAGGCACGTCACCCWGTTAAGTGGGGGTGTGATACACTTCCCCATGGCCAAAGCGTGAACACCTCAAACTAAGTAAAAGAAGCCGACCCAAGAGAAGGCTGTGTGTTATAAGATCCCCTGTGTGTGTACTAGGCAACAGGGAACCCTGAGGGACACGAGACTGCCAGGCCAGGAGGGGGACCATTAGTCACTGCTTCATGGCAGAGGGCTTCTACCTGAGGCGATGGAAAGTTCTAGAATGAGGCAATGACAAGGGTTGCACAGCATTAGCAGGGTACTTACTGCCAACTAAATTTAATTCACTTTAAAATGGCCAAAATGGCAAATTTCATATCATGTATAAATTTGCCATAATAAAAAATGCAAAAAAATCATTTAAAAAAATTCACAGATTTCAAGAGTTGGTCGAGCCTGTGTGTCAAAGAGCTTGTCGGGGCGAGGCATGAACTAACGTTCAAGGCAACAGCTTTGAAGAAAGTTTGAGTTTTTAAAACATGACTTTCTCTGGGAAGAATCCGAGCAACTCCAGGAGGAATGACATCACATTTCCGCAGTGACTCTGAGTCATCTAAAGCATTTCACACCGGAAAAGGGAGCTTCCAAGAGTCTGACTGTCCCGGGGATCTGCTCCCTGCCAGCCGCTCCCTAGTCATGGAGTGGAAGCTAACCTCCGTTGAGCACTCTTGTCCAGCACTTGCCTGGGCTCTTTCGGTCATGAACGCCCCCCTCTGTGCTCATGTAACTAACCCAGGACGGGTTCTTGTCTTCCTTTCACAGCAACAGAGGATTTGAGGACAGGTTTTTAAAACTCTGAGGCTTATCCTTGAAACCCGTTCTGTAAATGAGAGTCTCGGATGCAGACACTCAGTGTTGACTGGGCATAACCAACGATTCTCTCCCCCGCTTCTCCACTAGACGAGCGTGGACGCCCCGTGTCTGGGTGTCCTGGCCGCAGAGCTGTCTCTCCTGTGTTGTCATGCTGAAAATGACATCATGAACCAGGCCTCCATGGGACTGCACCACCTGCTCTGCATCGCCAAGTGGCAGAACGGTAAGAAGGGCTCATCCCACCTGCTGAAGTTACTAAGAATCGGCCCCTAMGAATTCTCCTGGGGAGTCCCAGGAAGACAGAATGTCTGGGAATTTCTACATCCCATCTCTAGATCTTTAACTTCGCTTTCTAAAATGGGATTTTAAAAAATCTTCCTGGCATTGTCGAGAAATTCTAGTGTGGTAGAGTTGGTTCTTCAACATCTGTAAAGCACTGCGCTTAGGGAAGCGTCGGGTGTGGATGTGGGATAGGAAGGCCAGACGGAGGCAGGGCTGGGTGGGAAGGAGAGAGGTTCCTAGTGGACTTGAAAAATAAAGGCCTACTTTCTTTCACTCTAGTGGGTCATCAGCTAGAATTCCTAGAAGACTCTTCCTTCGTTGGTGGGGAAAACTCAGTCCAAAATGAAAATAAATGCTGTAATGGTTGGCCTAACGCAGTGTAAATGCCAGACTGGAAAATACCAAAATATTTCCAAGCAAACTAACTATAGCTCGGAACAAAGCGTTAAAATATTTTTAGAATCCTCTGTCTCTCCATCAGGGATGTAATGCCAGAGGATAMATTTACCCTCAGATAAGAAGCAACATATATATATGACATGACAATTAAATATATACATACCCACATATGTATATACATGTATGTATATATATGTTAGTTTCTATAAATATAAGCATATGTTATTATATATATTAACACTGCAAAAAGATCAGTGAGCTTATTMACATAGTAATTAGCAAAAATGAAACAGAAATAAAAAGAATGAAAAAAATGAACAGAGCTYCAGGGAGGTGTGAGACTATTAGAGTCAACCTAACACATGTCTAATCTGAGTCCCTAAATATGAAAAAGTGAGACAGAAAAATAACTAAAGAATAATAGAAATTTTCCAAATTTGGTAAAAGCTACATACTCATAGATCCAAATAGCTCAATATAGCTTGAGAAAGATGAAGAAGACAGCAGAAGGTACATGATAATTAAATTGCTTACAACAAATGATAAACAGGAAATCTGAGAAGAAACCAGAGAAAAAAGACACATCMCATGCCACAGATTTCTTACTAGAAACAATGTAAGCCAAAGGCAATGAAGCAACATCWTAAAGAACAGAAAAACAAAAGCTGTCAGAATCCCATAGGCAGCAAAAATATTGTCCAAAATTCAAAGTGAAATAAAGATTTTAGATATGCATTTTAGAATGCATTGTGATAGAATTCAGTTCTGCACCTCGATGTTAAAGGAATCCTTCAAGGAAAAAAAAAATGATACCAGATAAAATTTTAGATCTAACTGAAGGAAAAAAAATGAATGGGAAATTGTAGCTATGTAAATAAATATTTAAAATATCTTTGTTATTTGAGTTTCTTTGATAAGCAAGTGTTGAATACAAAAATCAACTGTTGATCACACAAAAAATAAAAATGTATGACAACATTAGCACAAAGACTTGAAGGGGAAAAACTTTTGAATACAGTTTTAAGTTCCYTGTATGCACAAAGTCATGAAATATCACACAAGTAAACTGTGATATGGTGAAAATGTATTGTATAAACTCTAAAGCAACTTCTAACATAACAAAGACTTATATAATGAACCAAAAATGGAAATAAAATGAGATTATAAGAAATACTTAATCCAAAAG